AGGATATTCTTCCTGGACACACAGTGCTCAACCTTACCTTGTTAACAATCAAGAGGATGTAAGCATAAGATAGTTCTATGGTTTCCTGGTGGTTGGTCAATTTTCTGGCTTCTGTGTTTGGTTTTTTTGTTCCCTGAAGCAAGGTTTCAAAACAATAGAAAAATAGATTCTGTAGTTAACCAGTCTAAAATCAAAGACAGGTTTATTCATAAACTACCCTTTCCAGGTATTATGTGCTGGTCAATGACAGGTTAGTGTTGTGGCTGGTGTCCAGGTGTCCCCTCCAAAGCCTCACGTGGCATAGGTGGAGCGTTCCAGGGTGGCTTGATCTAGAGTGCGACGTGCTGGGAGGAGGGGTGTGAGGCTGGGATCGAGGGGTGTACTCCCGGCAGTCCACTGCTGGGTTTGGCACACTGGGACCCCAGGTGCCTCACCCTGGGTGTGAGCACTACCCACCCATAGGGGGAGAGTGGAAGGACAGAAAGAGGGCTACTGCCTGCCGCCTGCTGCTTCGCTGCTCTCTGCCTGCCGTGGATGGCTTCTCTTCTGCAATGCCCCCTGCCATGCCAGCCTGCCTTGGAGCCAGCCGGCCACAGCCTGAAGCGCTACTAACTGTGAGCTACAACAAACCTTTCCTTGCTAACTTTGGGTGCCGGGTGTCTTGTTTCAGCAATGTGAAAAGTAACTAAGACACTTATGGGTCAAGCTGCAGCTGAACTGCAAAAGTGCCCTACTACCACTGAGCCATTCAATCAAACTGAATGCCTACCTAAAAGTACCAATAATCTATCACATTGCAGACATCGAAATGTGTATGTCAATCTACCTGCAGCCCAAGGCATTGCTTTTGCTTTTCTCTGTCTCTGCATTAACTCTGGAGACCAGTGGTGGACAATCTATGACCCTTCAGCCAAATCTGGACCACGGCTTTTGTGTTTTGAGACCTCCATGAGGATAAGCCATGTGTGTCCATGTGCTTTCTTACATCTACAGGTGATTGGTGCAGACTGCAGGGCTGAAATGGTGGCAGAAATTAGGGTCACAGAAGGTCCCTTACAATACTGTACTGCTCTATACTACCTGCCCATTTATGGAAAAACTTTTGGGCACTGACCCACTCTAGACTGCTATCTGGTATCAACAGGGACTCCGTCAACCCTGAGATTTATAAGGACGATAAGACCCAGTTCACCTGCCTGCTACTTAGGGTTAAGCATGTGCCCACACTTTTATTTCTCCTTATTACTGAAATTGGGATGTAAGGGAACTGAAGAGCCAGTGCAGTGAAGGGCAGCTAATCCCGTCAGCTGCTGTATTCGTACATATTCTGCGTTCCGCGACTGCTGCTCAGAATAGAGAGAACAGCAGGGAAGAGTCGCGCATGGCACCCAGAGAGGGTCGGGGCGCTGCCTGCTCTCGCTGGGCTTTACTTGGATGGAACAGCTCATGTGCCTTCTATGCTGATTGTCCTCAGCTTTAACTGCAGTTGCAAGTTACGCTAGTGTTCACGAGGTAAGACCTTTGGCAGACAGACCCAAGCAGATGTCGAGCCCCAGCTCCCCTGCCACGGGAGGTCATGGCCCACGTCCCCCGGACCGGGGCCCCGCTGCTGGGTGAGGCAGAGCAGGGTGCGGCGGTGGGGGCTGAGGGCCACCAGCCAAGGCAGCTTAACTGGGTGGTCTCCAAGGTTTCCTTTGTGTCTGAGGACCTGTATGTTTCTTGTTTACTCCCAGGTCATTCTACAAACTGAAGAAACACGCACTTTATCAGAAACTTTAAAAACTCACTCATTCTTAAATCATGCTGTTATGAACTACGACTAGTGCTTAAGCATTATGCGGTTCAGCAACCTTGACAAGAGGCACTGACCTGGGTCAGTTAGCGTTCATCACAAGGATCGGCAAATTGATTATCTGAGCCAACCTCTCTTCAGCTCACACGAAAATGTGCCCGTTCTCTGTGCAGCGGAAAGTGCTCTGCTCTGTGCAGATAAGTGGCTTGCACGCTGCAGGAGGCACAAGCGTGGCCCAGAGGCGCTTACAAGCTTGGACCACATCTCCGACAGCAAGCTGAGGACAGAGCCAGGCCCCGGGGAGCCAGTTCTGTGCACCAGGTTTCGGCAGTGCTGTCCCGAGCAGCGCTACAGGAATGCTTGTTTTGCTGAAGCAGCAGCGCTGCTGTAAGTATAGAAGGAAGGAGGGCTCAGTCTGGTCCTGGTGTGTGTACCACCAGCCAGCCGTGTGACTGTGGCCAAGGCAGGTCCTCAGTGTCCTCGGCCTTCAAGAAGGGGTAGAGCATCACTGGGCTCCACCTGCGGCGGGGCAGAGAGTTGGATTTCTAAGGCTCCAGCTGCTGCTTACCAGGGAAGGACCAGAGGAGGTGGCCTGGAATCCCCCAGTCTAGACATCACAGCAGTTGAGGAAGGCAGCCAGTGTCTGGCTCAGTAGGATGCAAGCATTTTTAATCAGTTTCCTTTGCATGGTGGCAAATGCATTGCTCTTTTTAGCTTTTGTTTTGCAGGCTAAGAAAGACACCTGCAACCTTACCCACGGAGCAGTCAGCGCCACAACCGCTCAGCTCCCAGGGTCTGGTTGGCTTCAGCTTCAGCTCAGTTTGCACACAGACGTGTGTGGCAAGATGCTGCTTCCAGCCACACGACCGCGGCCACCTTTGCAGCAAACACAAGCACAGTCATCTTCCCCCAAATGTAAAACAAATCACTGTAGGTCTGTAAGCCGAAGTACCACTGTTTAATTGACCTTTGCATACATAGCACTTTCCCTTAAATTCTTTTCAATGTGATCTTAATTGTATTTATGTAATTGATATACAATGAGCTGCAACACCTTTTATTTTATGAACATTAAGATTGCTGAGTAATAGTCTATCTTATGTTTACCACAATTTATTTTTTAAAAATTCTACTTTTTGTGGTACCAGGGATCAAGCTCTGGACCTCGCGCTTGCCAGGCAGGCACTTAATGCTTCTTACAATGTAATCATTTCCATACCGGTGGGTAATTTTTTGCATTTGTTAGTGTAATTCTTCAGCAACCATGTTTTCTTTTGAGACAGATCCCTCTGCGCTGCCCAGAGACCCTCAGCCCAGCAGGCACGCTCCAGTACTTACGTCATGGCCTGATAAATGGACTCGACCCCGTACCGCGTGGCGAACTCATCGACTATTTCCTGGGATGCATCATCAAAGAAGACCTTCCAGGCTTCATCTCCTTTGACCTCTGGGATTTGCACGCTGCCATGAGACCTCACTTCCGTCAGGTAATGGAAGAGATTCTAGAAGCAAGGGGTTGCCACTGTTCAGTGATTCCGCAGAGGCAAGACACACGCCAGCTCTAACTTTCAGTGAAACATCCCTGCAGGGCCATCACTACTGAAGCCTCACTGGCGCCGACAGCAGCAGGAACCTCGGGTCCTTGTCCACTTCCCTTCCTTCATCACGCAGTCTGCACTCACTTCTATCTGGGGCTACACAGAGCCGATAACTCAGATGCTCTCCACAGACCCGACCACTTCGGAAGGAGAAAATGGCTCACAGCTAAAGCACAGGCCCTGAGTGAGTTAGCGTCCTGGACAAACAACGCGATGCTGGCTGAGTTAATAGGGAATTGGGTTTCATAAATGATACTAATGGGCTTTAGCTGCACAGTGGTACAAGTTAGGGCAATGGGATGAGGCTGAAAATCAGTGCTTGAGACTTTTGTAATGAAACATCAGCGCCCCAAGCCCTCTCCTGCTCCTAACGAGTTGGGGGCTGCTGAGTGCACAGCCCAGGTCAGCCAGGGGAACCTCCCGGGAGTGCACAGGGCTGGGCCGGTCCAATCCGTCCAAGGACTGCTGCTGCCTCAAAGCTGAAGCATTTCTGTGGAAGGGGCAGTGCTGCTGGCCAGACTGGCCCTGAGGTTAAGTGCTGCCCCAGGCTGCTCGGTGGAGCAGGGCTTCTCATTTCCTCTGTAGCAAAATGGGGTGTGGATACTCACGCACTTCAGGTATTCACAGGCAGTGCGTTTGTCAATATAGGTGTGTGCAAGAAACACAAGATGCAAACAAGCAAAACTGCTTCCCGCCGCCTTTTCCTCCCCTTACGAAGGTGCTTCCTCCGTATTCTTTGGGCACATGGAGAAGCGCCCTCCCTCTGCCTCCCCTGTCCCCTTCTGACATGGGAAGAGTCTCTCAGGGGCGCCTCTGCATGGCCTCCCAGCTGCACAGCGCCCCAGAGGCCCATGGCCACTGGTGCCCGTGTCTCCCCGAGGTGTGCAAGGGAAATGTCCCACCGGTGGACTTGTTCGAACTCTCTCACGGAAGGTCCTCACGAGGCCCTGGATCTACCTGGACCTATCCTGCCGCAGGGCACCCGCCACTGCTGGAGTCAGGACTCCAGGAGCAGTCCCACAAACCCAGCTCCAGGCTCTCCCCACTCAGGGCTTTGTTTCATGATTCACACCAACATCATTTTTATCTAGGTTTTATTTGTAATAAAATCCAACGTGTTTACCTCGTGTAGGCATGTGTACTGCACATGGTATGGAGCGACCTTCTCCTCTCCTTTTATTTCCACATTGATTTTTAACCGAATGGCCCCAGACACAGCTGATTTATCCGTCCGTTTCTCTGGTGAGGCAAAGAGGCCGGGTGAGTCATTTCACCAAGAGCGTCTCTTTCACACAAGTTCTCAAGACACTACACAAGCTGTCTGTGGCCAAAACCCACCCTTCGGGCAGCTCTGAGGAGCCACGTGATCCTCTGAGACACGACCCGCAGGCTTTGCTGCTGTTTCCCATGGCTGTAGCTCCACCTTACAGATGCTCAGATGGGAGAAGCTAATCAGAAGCGCTTACCATTCGAACAGAAATTTGAACATGCCTGATCTGCTTACACAACCAAGTTAAGTAGAAAAACTTGGTAATTGAAAGCATGATAACTGGAGTATAAAATTAACCAGAAAAGCTTCCATTTAAAAGCTCTCACTGCTGGTATTTTTCTTTCTGAGCTTGTAAGATGAACCACCATCCTGGGTAAGGAGGAGAAATTGGTTGCTGTGGTTCTCAGGAACCGCACTCTGTCACCTTACTGATGTGTAAGTGTTGGATTAGTCACTTCTTTGGATGGAACGGATGTGCCGTATTCCAGCCAAGTATGTGCACGACTGTACCCAGTGTGACCAAAGAGAAGGCTCGTCACCAAAGTCCTCAGGTGTGAAGGGAGGTGGGCACTTGGCCGATGGCTGTACCAAGACAAGTGGCCCCTTCACAGGAACAAGGACCCTGAGACAAAGAGGGCAGCCCTAGTGCTGGCGACCACTGTGACCGGCCCTTTTCCAACACAGCTGTACCTTTAGTCCCTGAGGTAGAGCAAAATAAGGAACGTCACATCCCCGTGTGAGGTGGGGGACTTCCTGCCCATGCTGTGCCACCTGTGAGTGAGGGTCAGCAGTGTCAGGCTCATGGCAGTGGGCCCTCCTGGTGAGAGGGCTCATGCCCAGCGACAGAGGGGCGCCCTGCAGGACCAAGAGCGCAACGGGCCTGGGAGTGCGTCACCCACCTTGCCTTTGGCTCTGGGGCCCGCCTGGTTCTCTGAGTTTTGATTAGCATTATCCCACCAGACCTGGGCAGTGGGGGAGACCTGCCTGAGCACCCAGTGATGTGGGTCAAGTCTCATTTGGAGGGTGGAAGGAGGCGGGCGGTCGGAGGAACGAGTCCACAGTATTGAGGAGGGCCGATGAGCTGAGAGTTGCACAGGGCTGAGAAGGCTGACCGCCTGCCCTCCTCCCTCCCCCTCGCCACCTCCCCCACCCTCCTGGAGTTTAAACATCAGCCCCTCGGGGAGGCCCTGCCTGTGGTGACTCAGGAGCAAGCAGGGCTGGTCTTTCTTCCTCTGATAAAGGGCGGTGTCAGCAGGCAAGCGAGCAGAAGCTATTTCCTAGTAGCATGCCAGCTCCAAGTCTGTGGCAAACTGTTTTCACAATTTGTCCAGAACTTCCGAGGTTAATTGGCTGCGGTGTCCTGGTACCCCGACCGTGACTCCTAGTCCTCTGGCCAACTCTTCTTCGATGTCTGACCAGCCAGCCCACAAAGCTGTACTCAGACATTCCAGAGGATCTGATTAAGACATGTCTGGACCGCGTCCTCTAGGGAAACTGAGGCAACTCATACTTTGACTATTATTAAGCCGCCGTGAGGATGGCAGGTCCTTACTAATTCCTGTAACAGTCAAGTCAGAACTCATTGCTACAGAGGCGCTGCTCCATGAGGACAGTCGTGTGGAGCTCATGGCAGCAGACACATTCTGTGTCCCTGTGGCCACTTGTCAGTGGGCCATGTGGGCGCCTGGCCGCACCCACGAAAGCTTACTTCTACGTTGCCATCTGAAAGGTCTCAGAGCACACTGTTCCAAAATTCCACTAGTGGATCAGGAAAAAATAAGTGAAACACCATTAAGGATGACTTGATTCTTTTCCTTGAACACTAGACAAAGGACTGGGGACGTGGGAGCCACTGGCCATGAACTAAAAATTAACATCAATACAATGCTTTTCTGAAAAGATGCCTGGCTGATTCTTTGCAAGCTTCTTATCTGTATCTCAAACTTTCAAATACTTTCCAGCAATTAATGCTAAATTTAAATTAAAAATCCTCTCTTAGTTGCCAATGAAGCTAATCCACCCAAAAGCCCAACAGAAGAGCTGAAAGGGCAGAGGCTACGGTGGCCCCCACAGAGACATTACGCATGCCACCGATATCCTGAGACTCAGCTTCCCTTGCTCTTAGCCAAACACGGATAATCACCGAGGTTGTACCAGACGTCCATCTCCCCACTCAGGGTCCTCACTTCCACGATCGTCTGTCCCAGGAAATCGTCGGACTCCTTCTTGAAGTGCTGCTTCACCCGGGACTTGATGTCGTCATCTTCATCCCACACTCGGACCTTGATCCGGTCTGTGGAGTTATGACACTCACTGAAACACAGGACAGCGAGTTAGTTAGCGGCCCCCAAAGCGCTCTCAGGGTGCCCCCGGCATCTGCCTCACACAGGCAGGCCAAGGGAGTGTCCCTGCCAGCCCCTGCCCGCCCTGGCTTGTCTGAGATACCCTGCCGCTATTGTGAAGAAAAGTTGGAAGAGTTAAGTAACGTCAGTAGAGAGGAACCCATCATTTTCCGTCCCATTTCTTTTGACTGAATTACATGTAGTCAAATGTGGGCCACAGCCGTGCCCGGGAATCTTCACTTGCGCATCCTTCCTGTGTGCAGCAGTGGTCTCAGACGATGCCCCATGCTCAGAAAATCCTCCACCAAAGGAGCAAGCAAATGGTGTTACAACAGACATTGAGAAATTGGACTGCATGCAGTATAAACTGATAATATAGTTAAGGCAAGTACTTACAAAAGAAAAACCCAAGTAACCACATAGATACAGTTAAACCAAGTAAATTCAGAGTAAAATCCTTCTGGTTTTAAGAAAAAATGACACAGTCTAGACAAACCCCATTCCAGGCTTCCTCTGTTTCATTTCGGCAAACCGCTTATCACCACAACACGAGTTTGGCCCCTCCAACCCGACGGCCTCTGTGCACATGCTCTTCGGGGCTTTTCCACTTGTTAGCTAATCACCTTCACAAGTCAGTTCTTCACCTGCTGTGTCACGCTTCCACCAGCTGTCACTACCAGCCTTGTGCCCCACTAGTCACCATGAACCTTCCTCCAGCATAGAGATACTGAACTTGAGGTTGACAGATGAGCTCTGGGGATCCCCAGACTTATTTAGTTAAAAAACCAAAATCAAAACAAAAACAAAAAAAACCCTCCTCTTAATTTTTTTCAACTTTGAATAGCCCATCACAGCAGTAGTTTGTCATCCACAAAACCGGAAGCATTTAAAGGGAAAATTACAAGTGTCATTAAAGCTTGAAATATTATGTACATCTATCATCACTCTACAAAACTATATTTCAGTGTTATTTATTTTATTTTCAAATCTGTATTTTATTTTATGCATTAAATGAATGTTGAAAAGGCACTCATGGGCTTCTCCAGACTATGAAATGTGTTCAAAGAATGGATCTGATCTAGACACTGACAGTGTGATGTCACTCCCATGAGCTGAGGCGGTAAGTGGTGAGCCAGGTGGAAGAACAGGACTGGGGGCAAGATGCGCCACCCTTGGAGTAAGATGATGCAAAACTCTACATATTACAATACAGGGGAGTCCCAGCTCTGCAGCTTGCACGTAGAGCGGGAGCCTTTGGCGTGGAGCAGCCCAGCGTCGCTGGGACATTTCTGCTGTGCTGGCATTCCATGGGCCACACCGGAGATGGAGACGCCACACCATGTGCAGGACAGTCTGCATAAATTACAGCATCCCACTGGGCACCAGTACAGACGCAATGCTAACGTCATCCTGTCATTTCGGACCTGCATAGACACAGCACGTCTCTTACGTGGCTTACTAGGCATGGAAGAAATGCTGGCATTTCTTCGACACCAAGTAGGATGCCAACACAAACCAAGGAAGAGTTTTCTTTCTTACCTTTTTTTTTGGTAGTTATTATTCAGAACTTCATCCAAAGAAAAGTTATTTTACATTTTGAGAAATTAACGACCAATGTCAAATTTACCCAAACACTGAATCAAAGGAGTTGTGTCAGTCTGCACTGAAGTGGTCTCATGGCTTCTGTTTCTACAGCAGGAGGAAGCCTGCGTCCACTAGACCACACGCGCAAGGCAGCTGTCCTGGAGCCCCTACAGACAGGCACGACAGGAAAGTATGGGGACTCCTTAAATCAAGACATTTATTAAGTGCCTTTTTCAAAGACACGTTGTTAGCCCCCTTCTCCGGGCGCGCTCGCCCCATCGTTCTGGCTGCTTCCTGACACCCTGTCCTGAGCGTCTTTCATTGCGTTGTTGAGGTTGCCTCAACCCACTGAACGGATTCAAAATGTTTTCTTTTCATGGTCATTTTGACTTCATGGAAGAACCAGAAGATGCACGGCGCAGGACTGGTGCATAAGGTGGGGGACACAGCGCCATGTTTTATGAGCTGCCTCTCCACTGGATGGTGCTTGGCAGCAGTGGCCACTGTACTTTTTTAAAAATCATATGTCATAAAAACACCCAAGAAAGTGGACTGCAGAAAGTGGTGAGGACAATGTGCTTGAAATTAGGGAGAGTACTTTGAGGGTGATTAATGGCAACGTGTCTTTTACTGTAATTTTTTAAACATTCGCTGTATATTGATCACATTTCATGTTAAAGTACGTATTAAGATACCTTTACTTTTCCTTTATATATATCATATTTGGAACATTGTATTGATATA